CCCCCCACCCCCCACCCCCCCCCCCCCCCCCCCCCCCCCCCCCCACCCCCCCCCCCCCCCCCCCCCGCCCTCCTCCTCCCATCGCGTCAGAGTTTCCATTCCAAAAGGGATTTCAACAGTTGACACGCCGCGCCCCGTCAGAGAGATTTAATCTCGAACAGGAAGAAAAATGTCGTTTTACGCGAAATCGCTCCTCAATAATCCTTACACATACATATATATCATTTCAATCTATTTTAAATATAATCTTTTATCTAGTTGTGCCAAATTAAGGAAGGCACAAAAATGTGATTTTTTCCCTTATGTTTTATGATTGTAAAATTGCTAGACAGAATAATATGAAATAAAAATTACATTTATTTAAATCGATCCCTTGCAGATTTATAGTTAACAAAATTGGATTCTCGATTTGATAGCTTTGATTATTGTTAAAAATCTTGAATTTTGTAGCCAAACTTGGATATAAAATTTGTTAGCATTAATAGTACAATATATTGACTATTTTGATTTTTCCAAAATTTTGTTATATTTTCCTTTTTCCAATTAATTTTTCCTTAATTACATTTTAAATCATATTTATTTACCTACAGAATTTCTGAAACAAATTATCTCTTATTAATTATGTCATGTGTATATGGATAGCAAGTAGATTAACTGTGGTATTGTTACATCACCGTGTAAAGTATACTGATGTGTTACTGTAACTATACTTTGAATTACAATAATGTTCACGCATGGCATATCTGTCAACGTGTCAACATTAGAATGTCGAATGTCTACATTCGCTTAGTTTTCACGCGTGTTATATTCATGATACCGATAATGTACAAACCGAACTAAAATCAACTGATTATCGGCGACACATTTCTCGATGAATTTGATATGTATTCATCAGATTTCCTGCGCATTTCGTCTCACGGAGACACGTGTCATTATCATCGCTGTTATTGATTGTAGGCTTGTCGATTTTGAATGTCGTGCAGCATAATGATGACGTTTCAATGATACGAAATGTAATGCAGACCGTGTTTACCAATCAATAATCCGATCATGCCAGGAACCATCGTTCGACTCATCTATCTCAGTTTTTAAAATATACTCCCCGTGTGAATTTTCGCTTAAATCATTTAACACAAAAAAGCTTTTCACCAAAAAAAAAAAAGAATTAAGTTTCAACGGGACGACACACGTGCCATCGTTCCGTGCAAATAGAGAACACGTAGCGCATATAAATTTTGCACTGCAAAGATACTAGAAATTCGAATGCAACATAGAGTTTGCGGCGAAATGTTCAACTTGGAAAAGCTTTTCTTTTTTTATTGGATCTTTTTTTATTGTACAATGTGATGAATAATAAAAATCATAATCTATTTTCAATGCATAGTTTTAATTTTAGATCGTTATAGGAGAACTCTGGGAAAGTATTAGAAAAGCGATAATCTATTATATTGGATTAACTTTTTTTTTCAAGATACTATTTTATTTCTAGATACTATGACATTAAAAAATTTTATTATTTTTTTAGTAGGACCGGGGAATAAAGATCCACTTTTGAGATTTTTTTGCTATAAAATAAAGAATATTTAACTTATACAGATCGCGTTGATATTTTTTGAAACTAGAGACTTTTGGCTATAAAATACATGCAAGATAGTATGCATATACATATACCCGTCACTACAAAGAAAAGAGAACTCTTCATATCGTCAAAAAGAAGCAGAAATTATCATCAGAACTATTGTATCTAAAAATTAATTTTTCAAAAATTTTTAATTTTTTTTTAATATTTGAAAATTTTTTTTACATAGGAACTCTAGACAATCGCAAATTGAAGCTATTAAGCCGCTCAGAACTATTCCACCTCGAAATTCGATAAAAAGTTAGCACCCCGTTTTAAAAAAATGTAAAAAAAATGTTTATTGAGCGGAACTCTTGTTATTAACTATAGGGAACTCTTCGTCTCGTCAAAAGGAAATAGGAACTCTAATCAGAACTCCTGAGTACTATAGTTGGGGTGCTAACTTAACATATCCGATTTTCTAACCTTAATAGGATAATAGGTTAACTTTTAACGCGTAATCTCAGTTCGTATGGCCGAACCAACGGTTTTTCTTACAAATTCTTTCGTTTCGTACAAAAACACGTTGAATAAGCATAATTTCATCAAAATCGGAAATGAAAATCGCATTCTGAATAATTACCTGTCTCTCTGCGTAACGAACACCACTAATGGGCTGCGTTCAGAAATTACACCTAGGTAATTCTAAGCTATAGTTTACGTTACGTATATTATAGTAAAAATGCACCCAAAAGTTATGTGAGTATAATTCCTGAACGCATCCATGCGCTGATTCTACAATGAGTCGATAATCGGAAGTAATCGGTAACGTTTCATACTGTTGACTATTGGTCAACTTCACTGATAAGACTTAGAATTATCGACTTGTTATAGAATCAACATTAACACAGAACAACCATGGCACTTTTACCCCAACAACCATGGCATTTTTTACCCGAACAAGACAAGTAAACTTTGCGGCATTATTATTAAAAAACTATAATAGTAATAACCATTTTAATAATCACACTGTTAAAACAATAGAATAAGATTAATAAATATACTTATTTAATCTATCTAGGTGCAAAAATGATCCCTTCAGACCAAAATAACTGCAGCGCTAATAGGTTGTTACTTTTGGCTCTCAAACACATGGTCACATCCGTGCAAACTTCCTGGCGGTTATCAGGTAGCAACGAACTGTGAGACATAAGATTTTCATTCTTAATTGAGACAAACTGTGAGGTGGAATTTTCTAGTAAATGCATTATTACCGAGATACAAAGGGTGGACCTTTTTCCCCGAGGATCTTTACTCCCCGGTCTACCCTACAATAACTATACATTGCACATTTTATGATTTTTTTTAAATATTAATATCAATAAAATAGAATATTGTTTCTAATATTAATATGTAATATTTGAAAGAGCTGAGATATTACAACAAAATTCTAGTAGATATTTTAAAAATTCGTGAATATAAAATATTTATGTTATATGAATATCTCTCTGGTATAAAATTACTATGTGTATTAGTTCTTTTACTTTAGTGTAAAATTATAAATATTTCAATTGTGCAATACTTTTACTTAAATATTATAATTATTTTGCATTCTGTCTATTAAAACTTATTGTGTGTAACATTATTAAAATTTGACTTTTTTTGTCTTTGTTTTGTGAAATGTTATTTCTCGAAAATTTTTGGTTGTTCTTGTATCCACATTTTAAAAAATTCACCATTTTTTAGAAAATAAAATAATATGGATTAAAAATGTTAATTTTATTTAAAACAACACTGCTATAATAAAAGAATTCATTTTTTTTAGTTTTATTTTAAAGTGTTGTTTTATTTTAAAAATAAATGTTTTGTTTTTGTCTTTATAAGACTAAGCTACGCAGGTTTGAAGTTAATCATATCGACCTGTATTTAAAACGCGCTTTTATAATATTAGCGTGTATTTAGCATATAGTTCACATATAACGTATACTATAAAATTTTAGACATAAAAGCACGTATTTATCGATAAAAGCGTGTTCTAACACAGGCTACCATGTATAGCTAGTGTCATCCTTAGTTCGCGCGCACTTTTATTTTTATGGTTACATGATTTATGTTTCTTGAACTTGATATTTTGAGTTAGCGTGACAGTCGCTATAGAAGATCATTTAGCCACGTTTTTGGAAGCGCTCTTTATTTACACTCTTTTTATATTCTTTTTTATTCTTTATTACTTTTAAGTCTAAGAAACAAATTATGTAACCACGAAAATAAAATTATGCGTGAACTAAAATATGATATTTACTAACTATATAACATAATATGTCTAACTTCAAACCCACGTAACTTGGCTTTCAAAAGAATCGAAGATAAAAGGTAGCACTTTAAAATAGTAGATAAAATTAAAAAATAAAATTTTCTTATCCGCAATATCATTTTAAATATGACCAAAATCATTTTTGCTTATATTACCCCAATTTTCTCAAAAATGTGACTTGATATTCTGGATAGCATCGTTTTCATGCATTTTTAATGCATTTTAGCAAAAAAAATCTCTGAAAATTATAATTCTCGCATGTCAAAGACAAAATCAGTGCCGGACAGTGTAACAGTTAACATTCCAGAAACTATCCTCGCCGTTTGACAGAATAAAGAGAAATGGTAACTTTTCTTTTTAACATGTGTTGCAGTAACCTCAGAAAACGGAAGCGGCACGCACACGATGACGTTTGTGACAATACTCTGCTTGGGCACGCTCCATCTGCTTCTGAGATAGTCACGGCACGCCTGAGACCACGAAAAGGGAGCTCACGGGCGTCGCATGATAAATAGCACACTAGTCAGCGGGAGAAAGGGCTGGATGAAAAGACGATGGAGGCAGGGTTTAAGGACCGCGTATGGACGGCGCAGAAACAATTAATATTATTAAATCAATATATGATCATTAAGTATTTTCTTTTTTTTTTTCTAGTGCATTAAATTGTATTTTTTTTTTATCTCTGAACGGGTCAGGATCGTAAATTCTGCATGTCCCCCGTGTGTAATCGATAATAGCAGCGCGATATTAATTTTCAGCTGGTAAACCATTTGAGCATTGCCATGATAATTATTATAGAATCAAAAGGACACGACACGTTTAATGTGATACATTCGCCGGCCGTGAGACTATCATTATCGTTATATTTTACACCGCGTCTTTTGTATAGTTCGTTATTTTGTAAGACGCGCCGGTATGCATGGATTGTTTCTCGTTTATCTTTTCGATGGTATACGAACTAGGTAAGAGAGGGCGACGATACCAGGCAACGATCCCTGGACTGGATCGTGACTGATGGAGAGATAGGTAATCGGATAAAGGATCACCGTAGCCAAATCCGCTATTGGGAGATCTGCTGTCACGAGCTTTACAGCACGGAGAATCGAGAACGGAGAAGCATAGCCAATTAGTCGCGTCCGATTACTACTACGACACCCAATTTGACATTTGACGAGTGATAAACAAAATGGATTTGTTTAGTAGAGCGACAGTGAGAAAAGAAGGGAAAGGACAGGACTTTGAAGTCGATTACACGTATACAGTCTATAAGTGCTTGTACAGCCCGCATCTGAAAGATTGCGATCCTTGCTGAGAGAGAAAGAATGAGAGAGAGAAAGAGAGAGAGAGAGAGAGAGAGAGAGAGAGAGAGAGAGAAAAAGAGTGAGAGAATGAGAGACATCTCTTCCGCTACCATTGACGAGAAGAGAGCCAAGCCGTAGAGATCGCACAAAGGAAGAGACTCGGATAAAGCAGTGCGAAAAGTTTTCGCATACCGAGAGGGAAAAAGAGCGCGGACTCTCCGATTCCGCGAAATCGTACCCTCCCTGTACTCCAACAACAACGCATTCGATGCCCACTCGAATATCTTTCCGTTACATTCGTCAAGGATGACGATTCGAGTCTATTGTTCAAACGCTCTTGGATTCGGTCGCGTAGACAGATCAATGTCGCGAATTTCGAAGCGAAGGGTTCTGGGCGCGCACGCGGGATCAAACTACTAGCTCTCTCTTTTTCCCCCTCTTTTTTTTTTGCTAAGTTCTCGTTTTCCGCGTTTTACGTGCAAAACTACGAGAACAGCGTTGTTGCTGCTGTTGCCGCGGAAGAACTCGGCCGCACATGAGTAGTTATGTACTTACGTTGATTGTTAGCCTCCAACCGCGTACGATTTGTTCTCTAACGAGTTTGTTACTTGCTCTTTAATGACGCCGCGCCGTGCCAAAGAAACATATACTTTGATCAATTTGTTCTATCTTCTGTATTTTTTTAACACGATAAGGTATGCGTTTCATTCTCGCATACTGTTTCAACAGTATCTTTTCTTGGACTCTGCAAACATACGTAATGTTTGAACTAGACGCGACGCGTTTTACCGATCTTTGATGGCCGCGCCGCTGAATCCGTATGTTAAAGCTATCTGAAGGTATACGATGTCGTCAGATATATAATCTGGGGAAAGGTTTCGTTTCGAGATCGATTTATCGAAGGAGATAGAAAAGAAACCGATGCATTGGAAAGGATGGCACGAACGTTGCGTTTTTCATTCTCCCACCTTCTACCTCCTCTTTATTAAACGGACGATAAACTCCGTGGACGATTCCGCGCGTCTATAAGCTGGCTATATACGTGCAGCTTGTTCCTTCATCCTGAACACAGAAATCGTCCGTATTAACCCCTATTCCACCCTCGGATAGAACGTCTCTTCCTCCCTTCCTTCGTTCTCTTCCCGCGGCGCACACCACAGCATTTGGCACGCTCGCGACCGCTTACAAATCTTCGCGAAGTAATGCGTATCGGCGTGAAACTGCACGGAAGGCATCGCGTGGAACCACGACCCTTATTTCTCATGCAAGCGGATTCGCCGATTCCTGCCTGGTACCCTAAACCGTGCCAAATTGTAGGGATCGATGTCGGACGTGCTAATAATTCCGCATGGAAATCGATATTATCGATATTCTCGAACGGAGTGCGTTTTTGAAAGTTGTAGAATTAATAATTTATAGCTATAATCATGAACGTTAAGTTTCAATTTGAATGCAGAAGCAGAGTGGATTACAGTTTTTACAAGTCGTGTTATAACATCTTGTTTTTAGGTTTTTTAATTTATTATATATAGTTAGAACGTGTGATAAAATATTACTTTATAAATGAATGTGTCAAATGCGCTAATGAGTAATTTTGTGGAAATTTTAATCGCGAATTATAATAATGTAGACAGGAGAATTTTTTAAAGAACAGTTAATTTTGCGCCCGAAGTTCGTTTTTGTAAGTGGGTAAGTAGGATGAAAATCCGATTTACTATAGTTTTCCGTATCTCTCTAAAGAAGTTACGACTTCTTTATATATAAGTTAGAAATAAGATAAATAGAAATATTTTTGTTAAATCTCGGATTTTAAAGTCTATTTAAGTGTCTTTAGTTTTAAGATCTTTTACAAGTCATCATATATATTATTGTTTTTGAACGTTACATTTTAGTTAATGTAAATACTTATTTTTACCAAGCAAAATAAATCATCGCATGAACTACTACTATCTTTCTATCAATAGAAAATTGAAAACAATCCGTACCTCATTGTACAGATATTTTTATTCTGTAGTATGCTATTGTTAATTCTCCTTAATATAAATATTTAATATCTTTTTCAATCCACAGGATTAAAATATAAACGCAATCTTACACACCGTACGAGCGAATGTAAATTAGCAGTTTTTATATGTTATAATTTTATATGTTAAGTTAACTTAATATATAACTCGAGTACACAGAAAATGTGAAAAACATTTTATTTACACGTATAAATATCGATACTATCCTCACACAAGTCTCTTCAGTTATAACATCTTTAAACTTTGCTTTGTAAAGTTGTGTTCTTTTAATTACTTAAATATATTTGCTTTTCAGAAGTAAAATCTACACCGCTGCCACGAACAACTGTGGTCTTATTTGCAGCGCGATGAAAACAGTACTTCACTAAATGCAGACGTTTTCATTCCCCTGGCAATTGCGCTCGCAATCAGATCGAAGAATTTCCACGAGCGCGCATAAATATATCCGTTTGTCGGTGCTCGCCCCCGTCCGACCTCTCGCTTCCCCGGCGTCGCGTCGTGGCGCGGCGAGGCAAGGCGATATCGTGCGCGCGCGCTTCCTAAAATTCATTGCCCGAGTCTATAGACGAAGCCCACAATTAACCCGAATCGAGATCTCTACGCTTCTCTGCCGCTATACAGTCCCCGACTACGGGCGAAGTCTTAGAAGGAGCGCCCATGCAAGAGCTCGAAGTTTGCACGACGAATACCGCGCGCGGGCAAGCAGATACATCCAACCACCCTTCGTGAAATAGCATATACCAAGGAAGCCCCGGGAACCCGGTGTTTGTGTATCTCCCCCGATCTTGTGTAGCGCTGGCCGCGCACGTGTGCGGCTGTTTGTATGTACAGCTATATACGTGGCAGTGGTTACGCGCGGCGTCCGCTGGTGTGTACGCGTGCACGTCTGTACACCTCATCGAGGACAAGTTCCTTCCTCACACAGACACGACAAAGGAAACGACGTTTCAGCTAACTGAAACGTCGTCGCCGTAACAATCACCATCGTCGGCTAGACCATCCTTCGCGTATACCTACCTATCTCTTCCCGCCCTCGTTTCCCATCTCGTCTACCGTTTCGCTTTGCTTCTCTGTTTGTCTCCTTTCCCCGGCTCACCTCTGGGTCGCGCAAGCTCCCAGCTTCTGTCTGTCTGTGTCCGTTGAGCCGATGTTGAGAACCAGAGCTCTGCGGTAGGAGCGTCGAATCTGCACCGACACTCGCACTGCTGCTGCGGTACTCGTAGTGCTATTCGCCGGCATAGTGCGACTCCGGGGTTGCCGTGGCTGATTCAAAATAAACTTTGTTTCGCCGCTTGCTGATATCCCACCTTACCTTGCTGGCTGGTTAGCGCGCTTGTACGACCACTGTATACGTGATCGCGTTCATTGCTGACGAAGGCTCTTCACCCACCCACCCTTCGCGCACCTAGAAGCAGCAGCCGCACTCCCCCTCTTCTCTCCCATCGTAACTCGACACTCTCTCTTACTCGTTATTAACGTTGCTTTGTATACTTCCTTATGTTTCTAAATTAGATATATGTGCAGTTATTTGACGAAGAATGCCTTTTTCAGCCATTATATCGATACGCGTTTCAAATAAGATACTGAGAAACTTCAAAACTTTTTAAATTAAAGTAATCAAATTACTATCGCATCATTGCTTTTTAATCATTTTTTAGCTCTCCCTAAAAGCTTTTGTACATAACTTTAATATTCATACAATGTTATTAATTTCATTCACGCGAATTTTTAATCGTATTATGGATCGGGAATTACTTAATTTTTTTCTGTCTGATCGTAATTAATGGCACTAAAATGAACTCTATCAATTTGATACATGACTCTGTATGAAATTTTATGCTAACTCTGTTAACGTATAATATATAAATATACGAAGGAAATTGCATGCTTTTAGCAGCGATAGACACAAGAAAAGCAAGAGTTCATCCTATGTTTCTCATGAATAATCTTTCGCTTTATAAAGCATCTTTTCTCATCGATGTATGATAATAGATATTCATAACATAGCCATAGAACGCATTTACAGAATTATAATTTACAAATCTTATACGCATATACACGTACGTAATACTTACAACTTTCGCGCAACACATTACGGAGTAAGAAAAAAATCTACTTTATTATTTTCCTAGATAGAGATATACGTGTTTCTTTTTACATGCGTAGCTTACAACACTTGCTTTTTTTTATAAAAGCAATTACTTTGACTTTGTACACAAACACACGCTCTATTTTATTTGTATATATGTTACAGTATTTTGTTTGATTAATAAAAATATTTACTTCATTTTGTTTTCATAAATCTTCACTCTTATTTG